CAAGGCAGCATCATATATACCTTCTTATGCTCAATAATGACCCGCATGTAGACAAATTTGAAGGTGAATTTGTCTGTATATTTCGAGCCCCTCAATAGTGCCGGCGAGTACGGATCGTTAGTCAACGAGTGGGAAGTGAGGTGAGGGAGCAAGTCGGTGTGGTGTGTCAGGTGAGGGAGCAAGTCGGTGTGGTGTGTCAGGTGAGGGAGCAAGTCGGTGTGGTGTGTCAGGTAAGGGAGCAAGTCGGTGTGGTGTGTCAGGTGAGGGAGCAAGTCGGTGTGGTGTGTCAGGTGAGGGAGCAAGTCGGTGTGGTGTGTCAGGTGAGGGAGCAAGTCGGTGTGGTGTGTCAGGTAAGGGAGCAAGTCGGTGTGGTGTGTCAGGTGAGGGAGCAAGTCGGTGTGGTGTGTCAGGTGAGGGAGCAAGTCGGTGTGGTGTGTCAGGTGAGGGAGCAAGTCGGTGTGGTGTGTCAGGTGAGGGAGCAAGTCGGTGTGGTGTGTCAGGTGAGGGAGCAAGTCGGTGTGGTGTGTCAGGTGAGGGAGCAAGTCGGTGTGGTGTGTCAGGTGAGGGAGCAAGTCGGTGTGGTGTGTCAGGTGAGGGAGCAAGTCGGTGTGGTGTGTCAGGTGAGGGAGCAAGTCGGTGTGGTGTGTCAGGCGAGGGAGCAAGTCGGTGTGGTGTGTCAGGATAATATTCTTTTTGTTTCTTAAAAACAGTAATTTTAGCCTTATTCTTGTGGAAAGTCACAAGAGATTATTTCACACATTCCTTTTACTTCATAAATCCACCTTATTCCTCTGCAATCATGCTTTCTACCTTTCTCATCACTTTTTCAATAACAAATTTATCATTCACGTGACCAAGTATACTGAATCTCTTTCTTTCGCAAATCTTAGAGCAACAGTGAAGTCTATCACAAAGCAGAGAGGAATGGAAATATTTGTAAAACAAAAATTCCATTATGATGACAGATTTCAATGACATTTAGTCAACTGAATATCGTTAGAATAAAAAAAACTGCCTTACCCTCGAGAGTGTGTAGTGGAGGCTAGCTAGCACAGTGATAATGTTGCTGCCTCACTTGCCAGGGTAACAACTGTGGGAGTTGTGCAATGTTATTGCCACTAAGGTTGAATATAACTGGCATCTTGTACCATGGAGTTGTAATAAAGTGACTGTGTCATACTATAATTCCTCTTCGAAGAACTGTGCTATGCACGAAGGCCACAATTTTTCTCAAAATTGTAAAGCAATATATTGAGAGGTTTATTGCATCCTTACATGTCACGGAGATTATTTTGGGGTCTTGTGAATTAAAATAAAAAAAGAAAGAAGTCAAATTATATATAGCCTGAATCTGTCAGTATTTCTGCGTCCATCCGTCGCAACAAAGGTCTACCCCGATCAATATTGTTACCACTGGAGGCTCTCATCCTCTTATCTCTCTGAAGAACAAAGGGCAGAAGATTCATTGACAAGTCCACATGTCCCGGAAACAATTTATGAAGCCGCTAGTTCGAGGCCACACAGGTAACGACGCAGGTAAGGGAAAAGCGGATGTGGAGGCAATGGTGGAAGAGACGACGAACTCGAGGCAACAGAGGGGTCATGATATGACTTCCCCAGATGCTCTTATCGGTAAAAATCATCGTAAAGCATCGGGAAGAGCTTTCACTGTATTGGACCTGGTTGTCTTAGGTGATGTAGGTGATCACAGTGGTTGGCAAGATGGCTTCCAAGGTCGCAGGGGTGGAATGGGGGAGTGAGAAAGGAAATGGTTTCCTGGAGCGCAAGACAAGTTTTTGCACTTGGGTGTGTACGGTGTGGCATCTGGACCCACCAGTGTAGCTGTGTGGCTGAGGAGAACCAGACCCAAGGCCAGGTGCCCAAATAAACTCCGGATTAATGTTATATTTTGATTGCGTTATTTAGTGCAAGGAGTGGCGGAGACTCTATACTCCGTATGTTAATATTACATTATATATTATATATATCAATATATATATATATATATATATATATATATATATATATATCAATATATATATATATATATATATATATATATATATATATATATATATATATCAATATATATATATATCAATATATATATATATCAATATATATATATATCAATATATATATATATCAATATATATATATATATATATATATATATATATATATATATATATAAAATAATATATATATATATATATATATGCAAGGAATTCGCAAGAGCAGGCGAAATATACACAAACACTGATCTCTGGCTGAAGGAGACTCGAATCTACGAACCTTGGAACAAGGTACGCAGTGTCCAGTGTGGGTAGATTGGTAAAGCACTGCGTACCTTGTTCCAAGGTTCGTGTCTCCTTCAGCCAGAGATCAGTATATACATATATATATATATATATATATATATATATATATATATATATATATATATATATATATATATTATATATATAATATAGACTGATTTTTACTGACTTATTGCATAAAAAAATTTTCATTCTGCTTGTTCAGCAAAAATGAATGTTCGTTCGTTCGTGTGAGTGTTCGTTCTTATCTATTAGTTCTTACTTATTTGTGGTTGCATGGGTAGAGTCTCAGCTCCTGGCCCCGCCTCTTCACTGCTCGCCACTAGGTCCACTCTCTCGCTTCTCCATTAGCTTTATCGTGTCTCTTCTTAAAACTATGTATGGATCCTGCCTCCACTACATCACTCTCCAGAATATTCCACTTCCTGACGACTCTATGACTGAAGAAATACTTCCTAACATCCCAGTGACTCATCTGAGTTTTCAACTTAAAGGTGTAACCCCTTGTTGCTGTGTTCCATCTCTGAAACATTCTATCTTTATCCACCTTGTCAGTTCCTCTCAGTAATTTGTATATCGTTATCATGTCCCTCCTATGTCTCCTGTCCTCCAGTGTCGTCAGGTTGATTTCCCTTAACCTCTCCTCGTACGACATACCCCTCAGTTCCGGGACTAGTCTTATTGGCAAACCTTTGCACTTTCTCTAATTTCTTGGCGTGCTTGACGAGGTGTGGATTCCATACTGGTGCTGCATACTCTAATATGGGCCTAACATACACGGTGTACGGTGTGCCAGGCACCCACATGGTGCAGCAGTTAATTGGATGTTGTGTGCCTCTGGAGATGTGCTCGGTATTATACTCACTCCAAGATCCTTTTCCTTGAATGAGGTTTGCAGTCTTTGCCCCCCTATTTGTACTCCGTCTGCGGTCTTCTTTGATCTTCCCCAATCTTCATGACTTTTCACTTGGTGCTGTTTAACTCCAGGAGCCAGTTGTTGGACCAGGCTTGCAGCCTGTCCAGATCCCTTTATAATTCTACCTGATACTCATCCACTTGAATTCTCATCGTCTGAAAACAGACACGTCAGAATCCATATCTTCCTCCATGTCATTCACATATACCAGAAACAGCACCGGTTCCAGGACTGACCCATGTGGAGCCCCGCTCACCACAATCGCCCACTTTGACACTTCGCCACATACTATCACTCGATGTTTTCTTCCTGTCAGGTATTCTCTGATCCATTGCAGTTCCTTTCCTGTTATTCCTGCCGGCTCAAGTAGCTTTTGTACTAATCCCTTGTGTGGTACTGTGACGACAGCTTTCTTACCAAGAAAATGTAGTCTACCTGCTCTCCTCTCTCTCCCTTGTCTTATTATAATCAAAGACTCTCCCCTGCCTTGCTTCTGTTAGTTAGTTACCAGTAGTAGCTCAGTAGTAGCTCAGTAGTAGCTCAGTAGTAGCTCAGTAGTAGCTCAGTAGTAGCTCAGTAGTAGCTCAGTAGTAGCTCAGTAGTAGCTCAGTAGTAGCTCAGTAGTAGCTCAGTAGTAGGTCAGTAGCAGCTCAGTAGTAGCTCAGTAGTAGCTCAGTAGTAGCTCAGTAGTAGCTCAGTAGTAGCTCAGTAGTAGCTCAGTAGCAGCTCAGTAGTAGCTCAGTAGTAGCTCAGTAGTAGCTCAGTAGTAGGTCAGTAGCAGCTCAGTAGTAGCTCAGTAGTAGCTCAGTAGTAGCTCAGTAGTAGCTCAGTAGTAGCTCAGTAGCAGCTCAGTAGTAGCTCAGTAGTAGCTCAGTAGTAGCTCAGTAGCAGCTCAGTAGTAGCTCAGTAGTAGCTCAGTAGCAGCTCAGTAGTAGCTCAGTAGTAGCTCAGTAGTAGCTCAGTAGTAGCTCAGTAGTAGCTCAGTAGCAGCTCAGTAGTAGCTCAGTAGTAGCTCAGTAGTAGCTCAGTAGCAGCTCAGTAGTAGCTCAGTAGCAGCTCAGTAGTAGCTCAGTAGTAGCTCAGTAGTAGCTCAGTAGTAGCTCAGTAGCAGCTCAGTAGTAGCTCAGTAGTAGCTCAGTAGTAGCTCAGTAGTAGCTCAGTAGTAGCTCAGTAGTAGCTCAGTAGTAGCTCAGTAGTAGCTCAGTAGCAGCTCAGTAGTAGCTCAGTAGTAGCTCAGTAGGAGCTCAGTAGTAGCTCAGTAGTAGCTCAGTAGCAGCTCAGTAGTAGCTCAGTAGTAGCTCAGTAGTAGCTCAGTAGTAGCTCAGTAGCAGCTCAGTAGTAGCTCAGTAGTAGCTCAGTAGTAGCTCAGTAGCAGCTCAGTAGTAGCTCAGTAGCAGCTCAGTAGTAGCTCAGTAGTAGCTCAGTAGTAGCTCAGTAGTAGCTCAGTAGTAGCTCAGTAGTAGCTCAGTAGCAGCTCAGTAGTAGCTCAGTAGTAGGTTCAGGCAATGACTTTGTTTTTATGAGACGTCAGTTACAAAAACGATTCGTCTTGCTGCGTGCGTTTCACGTTACGTTTCTGGGTCCTCCCTGCAAGTAATGTCAGAGGATCGAACACCTACCACAACTTGAGCTGAATGACCAGCACGGGTTTGGCGCTTCACAAATAAAGTACTTATTTCTACATCTCCCTTGTACTGTCTTTCCTCCCCTTTTATACTTATCAAGGTGGATGCTAACTAGATCCCTTCTTACTCTTTCCGCAGGTGCCTACATGTACTTGTTCACCCGCCAGGTGCTGCTGTGGCAGGCTTCCGATTACGGTCTGTGGGTCACCTACAAAAACCTACTGGCCACCCTAGGTGAGTGAGGCCTCCTGATTCCTACCAAAAATTGTGAATAATTTTTTTCCCCGTTGATACTATCAAACAGCTTTCCTCCTTCACCTCTGGTACCGTCCCCTTGTTTATTTTGGGGCATTTCCCCTTCCTATCCTGTTAATATTATGTTCACAGAGTCACACAACTCCTGGGGAATACAAGACAATCAAGTTTCATCTGAGGAAGGGGAGAGTAACTCCAATTCCCCGAATCAAAAGCCATCCACTAGCATTAAGACATCATCTTTGAAAGGTTCCTTCCTACACAGTGACACTTCTCCCTACGTCGCTCTGTAGTAGCTGTTCTTCATCTTTTCTCTCATTCCATTTCAACTTTTCCTGCTCATTTCCTGCACAGTTGTCACTTCTCATCCTTGATTTTAATTTTCTATGTACTCGTCTCCAGTTCCCTGAAGCCTGAATACCTTCCATCCTCCCCCCCCCCACATGCGCTGTATGATCCTACGGGTTTAGCGCTCCCCCATGATTAAAATAAATAAATATAAATATCTACTCGTCTTTCCCCCTTTCCTGACGAACCATTTTCTTACGGGCACCTGCTCTTTTTTTTTAATAAATAAATTATTATATTTTGTTTTTTGTGGCCACCCGTGCCACTGAGTGACCATTCATGACCCGTACAGTGACCTCCTGAAGTGATCTGGTGTTGGTGGTGTCCTCAGGATCCCTGGTGGCGGTGCCGGTGCTCAGCGCAGGACTCAAGGTATCCGATAACGTCTTGGCTTTGGTGGGCGCGTTCTCCTCAGTCTTCGACTACGTTCTTTACGGCCTCGTCACCCCAAGCACCTACTTCTTCATGTGGCTCGGTAAGTGTTTCATGTGAAGATCATCTTGCGTATTCTCTCTGTGGAATCCGACTCATCTCGTTACTACTTTGTCGATTCTCCTAATGAATTATCAAAACCACATTCCATTATCGCTGGTCTATAAGACACAATTTATTACCGATAAGAACATGCTTCTTTCATTGCAAAATCCCATAGCGGCGAATGAAAAAAAAACATATGTTTGATGATCTAGAACCACACCTGTGATAACAGCACATTACTGCTGGTCTAGGAACTCTCTGCATTTGTGGTAGGATTTGGAGGAGAAGCAATGTTCAACAAGCAAGAAGCAGTACTAATTTCTCGCTGATTTTCTCTCTCTTTCGTATGTATCTCCCAGCGCCCTTGGCTGCTCTCTTGGTCAACTCGTGTGCCATCGCGATCCGTGCCTTGCTGTCCAAGTACGTGGCTCCTGATGAACTGGGTAAGTGTCTAGCATGTATGTGTGCTTAGTTACCGGCTCTTGAAAACACTTGTCGATAGACATCTAGCCTGTGTGTGTGTGTGTGTGTGTGTGTGTGTGTGTGTGTGTGTGTGTGTGTGTGTGTGTGTGTGTGTGTGTGTGTTCATGTGCTTATATTACATTTTTTGGGAAGCGCTAAACCCTTATGTGTCATACAGGGCCTGAAGGTTAGGAGGCTGATCGTGTTTTTTTCGAGAATGGGGAAGGTAGGTTGAAGAAGAGTCCTTCACCAGCATCAAGGAATCCTACTGTAAAGTCCTGTACATACACATCTCAGGAACTGGCAAGTCCTCCAGGTTTTCCAGTGTGAATGAAACATATTGAGACATTTGTTGTTTGTTTGACCATCTCTTTTTCTTAATATTTTCGGTTATATAAGGCGCTTGAATTTTCCTTATAGAAGCAAGAAGCTCGTAAGGGGTCATACAGTGCCCGGAAACGAGAGGTAATCAAGTTTGACCGAAAGCAGAGAATGATAGATTGGTAACGGTCCGATCAGTATCTCCGCCAAATGCCAGATCAACTAGACTGCTAGCGTCCGCCGGCAGCAGCGGCTTGGTTGACCAAGCAAGCACTGGGGTAGGCCTAGTCAAAGACTGGGCCGAGGGAGTGTTGACCCTCGGAAGGACAGACTGACATTCTTAGATTTTCATTTCCAAATTGCGAGCTGCTGCTGTTGTTGTTGTTATTCCGGCCACTGCATTGTTATTCTACTTATCATCCTTACTATTGCTATTCTGCACGTATCCTTCGTCTAGCCTTGTATTCTCATCTTATTCAGTGTCACTTATGCTCGCTTCATCAGTTACTCTGCAAGTTTGGCCATGACAATTCCTTCAGTATATTTTCTCGTGATGTATCTCATCAGTTGATATGTTCTTTTTACTTAGTGGTGTGACAGTTACCAAGAATGTTATAATGTACCTTTAACTGAATTCTATTGTAAAATATAATAGCAGAATGTAGTTTAGATCATTCATGTATAGCTATACAACACTTATATCTCTACACCACGAAGGTATATTTATGTTAGGTAAGACACATATGCAACAGTTAGGTATCTTTATTTCGAAACGTTTCGCCTACACAGTAGGCTTCTTCAATCGAGTACAGAAAAGTTGATAGAAGCAGAAGATACTTGAAGACGATGTAATCAGTCCATCACCCTTAAAGTTTTGAGGTGGTCAGTCCCTCAGTCTGGAGAAGAGCATTGTTCCGATGTCTGAAACGGACTCTTCTCCAGACTGAGGGACTGACCACCTCAAAACTTTAAGGGTGATGGACTGATTACATCGTCTTCAAGTATCTTCTGCTTCTATCAACATTTCTGTACTCGATTGAAGAAGCCTACTGTGTAGACGAAACGTTTCGAAATAAAGATACCTAACTGTTGCATATGTGTCTTACCTAACAATCTATCGGTATTTTATACCATTTTAATGTTCAGGTATATTTATATTGGAACGCAGATTCGGAAGCCAGAGTCAAACAATTTAGAATTTCTGTGTATGTATACATACACATAAAACATCTGATATATTCTGTTTTCTGGCGTTTGTTTATCAAGATTTCAATATTATGGTGTGACACAACAGAAAGACGAGTTATGGAGGGTAGGGGATCCTGTGGTTTAATGCTACTGTTATAATGTACAGCATGTGCCTTATTTTCGAGTATATTGTTACTTAGAATTAATATTTGGTCGTCGGGAAGAGAGAGAGAGAGAGAGAGAGAGAGAGAGAGAGAGAGAGAGGGAGGGAGACAGAGAGAGAGACAGAGAGAGAGACAGAGAGAGAGACAGAAGAGAGAGAGAGAGAGAGAGAGAGAGAGAGAGAGAGAGAGAGAGAGAGAGAGAGAGAGAGAGAGAGAGAGAGAGAGAGAGAGAGAGAGAGAGAGTCCTCTCCGCTTACTACTGCTGTATAATGCGATCCTTCATTAACTACGTTTCCCCCACAGTGGACTTTATCAAGACACAAACATCAGTTTGTGACTTGATAAAGCTCACTGTTTGGGCGAAACGTAGTCAATAAAGGATCGCATTATACTGCATTTGTGTATTTTTCCCTCTGTTCTTTGTCATTATGTTTGTTGACAATGTTGTTACCCAGAATTTTCCCTTTATTGGCGAGTGAAAAATAGAAGACCGAAAAGTCTTTTTCTTTGTATTATTGAAATCTTGTTTGTCCAGATTCATATTTCAGAGTTCTGGGCCTCGAACCAAGTAGTCAAAATACAGATTTTTTTTCAGTTTAAGCACAAAATTATTGTTACAAAGCCTAAGCCAATACCTATTAACGTACAATTGGATGCAACTGACCGCACACTGTATTTTACAGCCATCGAGAGAGAAAAATTATGTGACAAATAGAGAAAGGTTTACAGAACGTTAATTAAAGTTATGGTTAACTACAGTTGTCACCCGTCAAGCACCAGAAAGTTGCCTTGTGTATAAATAACAGAACTTTGACTCTAAATCTATTTCGTATCGTGATTAATAAGAGAAGGCTTAACAATATTTTACCGTTCAAAGCAGTTACAAGGAACTAATCATTCTGTATTAGCCCAGTGTATATACTAGCCGGTCCCCTTAAAATAAAAACAAGAAATAAATCCCTGGACAGTAGCTATATTATATTTATGCTGTGACATTCTGGTCTCCAGACCATGATCATAATTACTGTAAGACGCAGTAAACATCCCAGTAACACTTTTAAAATTAGCCTTCACAATATAATTGTGATGGTAGACGAGAGGCTGTCATTGTGATGTAATATTAACAAAATTGAGAAGCTTGTATTCCATTTTTGGGTTCAGTTTTACATCTTGATTTCTTGGTTAAGATCCTTCCTGGAGAAGACCCGGGCCGGGACAGCACCGGCGAACCTACAAGAAGATTGAGGTCCGCTCAAAATTCCCTAAGATATCACTTCCCACCTCTCGTAATTACTCAGTCACTCTCTCATCACCTCACTTGCATAAATACTCTTCGATTTTACTTTCACTTAAGCCACCTCAACCCTTCCTAACCTCTCGTTACTTCAGGTGCATCTGCCTTAATTCTTACAACTCTTCCCAGTACAAGTTCTCTCACGCATCTTAACTTTGCTTTTATTACATAATTAACCTCTTTAACATTTCCTCTACTTTTCTGCATATTCAAACAACCTATCTTCTTTTTTTAGTATTATGCTGTAAAAGGGGATATTATTATTATTATTATTATTATTATTATTATTATTATTATTATTATTATTATTATTATTATTATTCGTACGTATACAGTGATTGTGTAAACTTCTTTATATTCACCCATGATCTTCGTGATAAGTTTTTCAATGCGTATGACAGAGTTTGCATATTTTATTTTTAATTTTTTTCACCGTCGTTCCCACACGGTGGAGGTGGAGCAGAGAAGCTTCGGGAAGCTGTAAGGAAGCGTAATTCTTTTTTACCTGGATTGTCTGATAAACAGCTCTAATAACTGGCGTTGTCTATCTAATGTTTAAAAATAACGGGATTTTCTTTTTTTGTAATAACAATATGGTGTATTGTTTAAAAGTTTTTCTTATCTACAGTTACTGATGAAAATCTACTTTATTTGCCGTATTTCAATACTTATTATAGTTCTGGCCATAGGATACCGTAGCTGGACTTGGGTTAGGATTAGTTGTGATGTTTATCGATTCCATGAAAGGGGTATTAAGGCTGCATTTTACCCGAGACAATATTTCAAGACCATTGTTTAAAATAAGGATTAGAGGATTGTTTAAAATAGGGATTAGAGGATTGTTAAAATAGGGATTAGAGGATTGTTTAAAATAGGGATTAGGAAGATGGGTTGTGTGTATATACACGGCCCATCTTCCTAATGTCTTAATCAGTGTCAGTAGCTTACTGTGGCTTACAATGCGTTTCTTTCCTGGAACCTGGATCACTTCTAGCACAGAGGTTATAAAGTTAGTATACATAGGTGAAGAGTGAGGTGTGAGTGACGCATGGTGAGGACAGGTAGACAATGTGATCACGTGACTCCTGTGTTAACCAAGTGGTGCGTTGCCTGGTTGAGTATCATGTATGCTAATGTTTTTTAAATTTTCTAGTTACCAGTAATATGTTATGTGATGTGGGTGACGGCAATTAACGAGGTTTCCAGTACCTTAAGGTACGCGTTTGTCCTCCACAGGGACTCCACGGGACATTTGATGAATTGGGATGAGGCACAACTCTTCCTTACCGAACAAGATCTTAGACGCCGACGATGTCTGGAAGCATCGCTAACAGCCGTTACCCACACCATAGAACATAATACTGGAAAGTAGAAATTTCCCAAAACATTAGCATACATGATACTCAACCAGGCAAAGCAGCACCTACCTAACAACACAGGAGTCAGGTGATCACATTGTCTACCTGTTCTCTCATCCTAATATGGCATTCTTCAGGTCACCATGTGTCCCTCACACCTCACGGTTCCCAGGCCGAAATGTTTTCTAATCAATATGTCCTGGTGTTTGCTCAAGTGTCTTTCTAAGCCAATTTGTCGGTATCTATTACCAAGGTTTATACTAAACTACGCCATGTATATTTCATCATCGTAGTCTGACCTATAAACGGGTTTTATGAAATTACGTAAGTTATGCCAATCTGGTCCAAGGGTATTTTAAGCAATCTCTCTCACCCTTTCCCTCTTCCTTTCCCCCCCTCTCTCTCTCTATCTCTTCTTTCTAATACGCAAGGGATATACATAATTAACTCTGAGAGTTCCTGCCGAGCATTTTACAACCAGTGTGTTATTATAATGCTCATCTCGGATTAGTTCTATCCACATCACTGTCAGATATGCTCAGCATGAGGTCAGGTTTGCAAGAGGCCGCTGCATCGCGTCCAGGCACACCTGTGAAAAGCTTCAGAGAGTTGCAACAGCCTGAGATTAACGTTTATTTTTTTTTTATGATTGTTGA